AATCACATGCTTAAACATATTTAAATAGTTAATACTTATTTTAACCCTTTGTGTGTTCTTATGAACATTTTTGTCGTTTTGCTTTTAAGTTTTTGATGACCGTTTTAACTGTGTTCATACAAAACATCATGCATTTTTCTTGTTTATGGTCTTGTAACTTATTTTAAAATGTAAAAATTCTAATAAATTACAGCATGTTTCAGCTTTGGCTTGGGAAGCAAAATATTTCTTTTTTCTTGCTGTTGAGCACTGCAGGTCAAATAAATAATAAGTTACGCAATTAGAATCATGTGGGTGTATTGTATTAATATCTGCATTTGTTTTGTATTTGTGTGTGTGTGTGTGTGTGTGTGTGTGTGTGTGTGTGTGTGTGTGCGTGTGTGCGTGTGTGTGTGTGTGTGTGTGCGCGTGCTTGTGTGTGTGTGCGCGCGTGCTTGTGTGTGTGTGTGTGTGTGCGCGCGTGTGACACTGTACAAAAATTATAATGTGTTATATAAATACACTGGAATTGAGAGGGTTAAAACTCTTTAAATGAATGAGTAATTGATTCAGGGAGCAAAAGTTCATTTCTGCAGTTCAGTCTCAAAACAAGTTACTGTATTTACTTTAATAAAATGAAGAGTCTATAAACTCCTGCAAACTATCAGTAACATGTTTCAGAATATTTAACCCTTGTGTGTCAATTTAAGAAATGTTCTATTTTCATATTGTTATCTATCTATCTATCTATCTATCTATCTATCTATCTATCTATCTATCTATCTATCTATCTATCTATCTATCTATCTATCTATCTATCTATCTATCTATCTATCTATCTATCTATCTATCTATCTATCTGTCTGTCCATTGTCTATCTATCCATTTAGAGTATCCATCCATCCATCCATCCATCCATCCATCCATCCATCCAAAGTATTCATCCATCCAAAGTATCTATCCATCCATTCAAAAAATTAATCTATCCATCCAAAATATCTGTTCATCCATCCATCCATCCATCCATCCATCCATCTATCCATTTGTCTATCTCTCCATCCAGAGTATGTATGTATCTATCCATCTATCCATCAAAAGTATTCATCCATCCAAAGTATCTATCCGTCCGTTCGTGTATCCATCCATCCATCTTTATCCATCCAAAGTATCTATCATCCCTCCATCCATGCATTCCAAGTATCCATCATCCATTCTTACATCAATCCATCCATCCAAGTACTTATCTATCCATCCATCCATCATCCATCCATCCATCCATCCAAAGTATTCATCCATCTAAAATATCCAACTGTCCATCCATCCAAAGTATTCATCCATCCAAAATATCCAACTGTCCATCCATCCAAAGTATTCATCCATCCAAAATATCCAACTGTCCATCCGTCCAAAGCATTCATCCATCCATTCAAAGTATCTATGATCCATTCATCAATTCATCCATCCAAGTATTTATCTATCCATCCAAAATATCCATCCATCCATCTGACCTCTTCACCAGTCCTTATGATAACAACCAACCTTTAGTAATCAGAAAGAAATTGATAAAAGAGAGAGAGAGAGAAAGAGAGAGAGAGAGTATCTTCAAACATTAGATAGAAACAAATATTTTAACTTGAGACTAAAGACTGAAAAAAGATCCTAAAAATAAACAACCTCATGACAAGATAAATGTACTTCAGAAGCAAAACAGATTTCACTAAATATGTATTTCTCTCAGCTCTCAGTGATTATATGTGCATAAACCTCTCCAAATAATGTTGAATTTATGCTTAAGATAAGAAACAACACTTCGCCAAGAGGCTGAGAAAAATAAAAATGAATTCAAGAAACCGTCTCCGACAACAAGTCACAACATGTTTCGCAATTTTGCTACTCACAGAAATTTATCCTGCTTTTTTTAGAGGTTTAATCAGTTTCCCTAGTTAATATTTGCAGAAACAGTTTTCAAATGCGCCTGCTGTGTGATTCATAGCATTTTAGTGCTGTTTCACCTGCTTTTTTCCTGTCCTCAGCAAATTCCTAACAGGACATAAAGTCATGAGTCTCTCCCTTTAGCAGAAAGTGTCACAAAAAAAATAAATGTCATAAAATGTCGCGCTTTGAGGCCTGAATGAACTATTTTTCACGGAAGAGTTTCAGTCGGCACATCAAATCATCATTTGTAGTGAAACTGATCCATCTTTCAGACTGCTTTTATTATTAAAAGTAAAGCCCAGACACTGTTAGAGTTACTAGAAATATAATAGTCACTTATTACAGGCTCAGTTCTTCTGTTTGTTGGTCATGAATCAATCTTTCACCAAACACAACATTGGGTCTCATTTAAAAACATTAATATTGATTTATACAGGGAAATACAGAGGTAAATACACTCACTAGCCACTTTTTAGGTACACCTTAGTACCAGGTTGGAACCAGGGAATCATAGGAAATCTTTAGATCAATGAAAAAGTTTACAGTTTGGTACAGTTATCATATATTTTGTCTTGTGAATGTGGTACTTTTCAAATAACATAAGAATTTGAGTTATTTTGTTCTTTTTACCAATAATCCAAAGTTACAATCTACAAAAAAACATGTTATAAGTTATATACTGAGTATACTAAGTTTATATTTTGGTCCACTTTTAAAAGTAGAAAGGTAACTTGGGACCAAAAATAAATGAAAAATTGTTACAGGTGTGGCGAAAAATCGAGTCCGCTAAGGACCCAAAAGGATTGTCTCAGGTGAATTGTTGTGTGGCTAATCAGAGCTGCTTTAGCTTGTTGTAGCTAGGAGACTAATGGTAGATGTATGATTATTCTAGCACATAGGCTAAATATGCTAACTAAATATAGGCTAAATGCTCAATTTCATAACCCATGCCCATACATCAGTATATGAAAGGGTCTATATAAATGTCATTATAATGGTGAAATTAAATGGTCATTATTACGGTTTTTACATCCCTACTGAGAAAAGTTCCAGCTGTTTGGCTGGTTTTAGCTGGCTCAACAGCCAAATTGTAGCTGGTCAGGCTGGATGATGACCAGCTAAAACCAGCTTAACCAGCCAAAACCAGCTATGTCCAGCTTAAACCAGACTGAATACGGCTGGAAATCAGCCTGGTAACCCCTCTAAAACCAGCCAACCAGTTTAGGCCTTAACTGGTTGGCTGGTTTTAGCTATTTTTTCCGCAGGGAATAAATAAATTTATAGCATGATTTCACAGAATTAATAGTTGTAATACTGGACTTTATAATCAGGTGCTACAGTCTATATTACAACTCCAGAGAATCAATAGGATCAATCAGGGTGCAATAGGCAGACCCAACTCTCATGGGGGGACTCTTATATCGGCCGCACTATCTCGTTTATAAACATGGCGTCAACACAAAACGGGACAGTAATGTACATGCGTTACTTCCTGCGCAAAAGTTAAGCTCTATAAAAACAAACCTGACGGGAGAGTGTGCGGAGCTGTAAGTAAGCTCTAAGTAAACATAATTTACATAAATATTGAATTAATTAGATCATCATATTAGCCATATAATCATCAATAAAATAATTAAAGTATTCTGCAGTATACGTTTACCTTTAGGAAGGCTTCTAAGCTAAGTTTTATAAACAGAGCTCTACTCTGGTTCATTTGCCCAACACAAGATGGCAGTAAAGATTTAAAGGATTATTTTTCATAATCAAAGGGACAGAAGAGAGCTGAATCATCCACAATATCTAAATATATGTGAGATGTTTATTATTTGATGTCATATTAAATTACATGTGCAGTTTACCTTGTGAAATTACACACTCTTTTTATAAGCTCTAATAATAAGTATATAAACAAGGACTCTGGAATTTTTAAGTTGTAATTTTTTTATAGTTTATCAAATACATATTTCAAATAAAATGGTGTTTAATTATATATTTATATACAGTGATCGGCATATATGAGTACACTTCTCATAAATTTATGTTAGGAAAAAAAATTTAATAAAAAATGGCAAAAATCAAGAGAAACAGAAAATATATACAATTTTGTTGAAATGTTGTAGGTTGTAATTTTGCATGAATTTAAATGTATAATCTTTCCATTTCTAAAGATGTTCTGTGACTAAAATATTAATATTAATTAAATTTGGAATTAAATCTTGAATCTGGAAACGAAAATAAATCTTTATAAATTCAAAATATAACAAATAAATCGGTATCAATTGAATTGTCAAGGTTTTAAAGCAAGTAAATTGAAGTATTAATTTCTAATACGTTTTTTCTATATTTAATTGATTCAAATGTAAAGATTTATATTTAAAGTCTACAAATATTAATACAAATCTTGAGCATAAAAATGTAATATAGGATTTAAATGGAGCATGTTTAATTGCAAATCTAATATTATCAAATTATCAAATGAATTCTGGTTTAAAACAGATGCATTGCATTTTTAGGTCAAAACAAAGAGTGACTCGGTCTTGGAGGGCCGGTGTCCTGCAAAGTTTAGTTCCAACCTCAGTCAGACACACCTGGGCTAACTAATCAGACTCGAGGCTTTCTAGAAACATCCCTGCAGGTATGTTGAGGCAAGTTGGTGCTAAAATCTGGACTGAGTTTGGGCACCCCTAGACAGACAGACAGACAGACAAACAGACAGACAAGACAGATAAATAGATTTTAAAGTAAATAAGGATATGTTAACTGTCAGTATACTGTAAAGAATAATGATAGCCTATATGATACATGATACAATAATGATGTTTATCAATAAAACAAATAACATTAATATATACATAATAACACACAATGAACACAAAATTAATAAAACATATAAACGTAATGTCTATAAATATTGAACACTCGTTGCCTAATTAAACCTTTCTAATGTACGTCTTTGTAATGTACACATAAATTTATATGCGTGTGTAATATAAAAATGGTCCTCATATAAATATTTAAGCAGGTGTGTGCAGTTTTGTGTGGTTATTTGGCGCCTCTGTGCGGTCAGAAGTGATACTGGGAGTATCAGCAGTGTGTGTGCGTGTGTCTGTGTGAGCACCGCAGAGCAGACGCACAGAGAGGCCGCTTGTCAGGTCTGGACGCCCGGCGGCTGCGGCTCGGGGCGGGGATGGATCCGGGATCCGCCGGTGGGACCTTCATGTCCCTGAGCGACACCGAGCAGAGATGTTACTCCGGGCTGTACGCGCTCTGTCAGCCCGACAGCAGCGGCATACCGGCGGCGGGGAAAGTGGCGGAGCTGTTCCGGGCGTCGCAGCTGCCGGCCGAGACGCTGCACCAGGTGAGCGGACACGCATTTCACCGCCGCCCCGCAGAGGAGCGCGTGTGCCGGGGAGCGGGTTCACACTCCCGCCGGGGATGGGTGTACAGTATAAGGCTCTCATAACTACATGTACAGTACGGGGCTCTGATATACGCATGGCTCTTGTTCATGAGTATACAGTTTGGGGCTCTAATTTATGGTTGTTTGGGGCTATCATTTCTGGCTGCATAGTAGGCTATATTAATTATAATGTACAGTATATATAATTGTACAATGAATGTACAATGAAAAACAATATTTTTCTTAAATTATGTTATTAAGGAGCATTTATTAAGTATGAATGTGCGAATATAAAACCAACTTTGCCTCAATGGGTGTACAGTATGTAGCTCTGGTTCATGGGTGTATATTAGTGGCTCTGGTATCTGAGTGTACAGTATGGAGCTCTGGTTTATGGGTGTACATTATGGGGCTCTGGTATCTGATTGTACAATATGGGGCACTGATATTTACATGTACACTTTGGGGCTCTGATAGCTGGTCTTACAGCATGGGCTATGAGATTTGGGTGTACAGTGTGGGGCTCTAATGTCTGGTTATACAGTATGGGCTCTGATATTATTGAGGTAAAGCTGTTTTTTTGTTTATAGATTCAGACTTTCTCCTTAATAATATAATTTCAGAAAACTATTCTTCGTAAACTCTAAATTTTAAAAATCATTTTATCCTCCAATGGCAGTTAAATCGGTCTAATGTTGTTTTAAAGTCATACTAACATGTGATTTCAGACCGAATATTCAAAGTACCATGGTAAACAATATAGGGATCATGTCACAAGTTGTTAATGAATGAATGTGCGAATATAAAACCAACTTTACCTCAATTCTGAGATCTGGTTGTACAGTATGGGGCTCTGATACATGTGTGTACAGTATGGACTCTCATATGTGTATGTGCAGTATGGCACTCTGATATGTACATGGCTCTGGTTCATGTGTGTACAGTATGGGGCTCTAATGTCTGGTTATACAGTATGGGGCTCTGATTCATGTGTGTACAATATAGCACTCGGATATCTACATGACTCTGGGTCACATGTGTACAGAATGGGGTTATAATGTCTGATTATACAGTATGGGCTCAGAAATCTGGGTGTACAGAATGGGGCTCTGATATCTCTGTGTACAGTATGGGGCTCTGATATCTACATGGCTCTGGGTCATGGCCCACGGGTGTACAGTATGGGGCTCTAATGTCTGGTTATACAGTATGCAGGGATCAACAATAAGGACTGCCAGATGGCCCAGGGCCAGTGTGCGAGGCGCTTGGGACAGTTGACAGGATTGTTACTGGCCCGATCTGTGCTGCCTTGTCACTAAAGTTCAATTTGCCTGCAACTATTTGTCAATTGCGTATGAATACAGTCCTAGAATCGAGTAACAGTTTGTGTTTTTAAGCTTTTAAATGCTACCTTCTCTGTGATGTCATAATCACCATATTGATTTTCGGTTGCTCTTATCTGATTTCATGTTGTGAGCATGTCGTGTTTTGTAACCTGGTAAAAACCAGCACAGTGAAGTGATGGCAACATCAAATATACTTGGGAACAGCACGACGATTTGCTCATTATACATTCATTAACATTTTAAAAATATTTAAAGTCTAGATTCAAACACATTTTTGACACAATATTTAAAACATTGGCTAAGAAATTAGATTTTATTATTATTATTATTTTATTTTATTTATTTATTTATTTTTGTGTGTGTGTGAATATATTGGCAGGGCAAGTAAAAATCTGAACCGCTGGCCCAATCGAACCAGTATAAAAAATCTTTAGCGTTAAACCCTGGTATGGGCTCTGATATCAGGGTGGACAGTGTGGGGCTCTGATATCTACATGGCTCTGGTTCATGTGTGTACAGTATGGGGCTCTAATGTCTGGTTATACATTAAGGGCTCTGATATCTGTATGTACAGTATAGGGCTCTGGTTCGTGTGTGTATAGTCAGTGGCAGCGTAAAGAGTAAAGTTGAGAGACCTGCTTATACCTTGAGGGAATTGATTGTACAGTTATGGACAGTAATATTATAGTGCTCTGAGGTGAATGAGTGCCATATTCATATATTGTAATATTGATGTTGGGTGAGGCAGTGGGTAGCACGTTCGCCTCACAGCAAGAAGGTCGCTGGGTCGCTGGTTCGAGCTCAGTTGGCGTTTCTGTGTGGAGTTTGCATGTTCTCCCTGCGTTCGCGTGGGTTTCCTCCGGGTGCTCCGGTTTCCCCCACAGTCCAAAGACATGCGGTACAGGTGAATTGGGTAGGCTAAATTGTCCTTAGTGTGTGTGTGTGAATGAGTGTGTGTGGATTTTTCAAAGAGATGGGTTGCTGCTGGAAGGGCATCCGCTGTGTAAAAAAAACCTGCTGGATAAGTTGGCGGTTCATTCCGCTGTGGCGAGCCCGAATTAATAAAGGGACTAAGCCGACAAGAAAATGAATGAATGAATATTGATGTTGTTGTCCATGATGAAACCATTTGAAGAAAATGTCCATGCAATCACTTTTTTTTTTTTTTGCAAGCAAACTGTATTGAGCATGTTTTCAAACTATTCCATAGCTGTAACAAGGGGCAAATCATTCATAACTTAAGCTTTAAAAAGCTGCCATATGATTATTTATCAATATATTAACGTTTTGGCTTATCAGAAGCTATGGAAATTAAAAACGTAAAGCAGGAAATGTGTTAGGACCATTGTTATTGTTTACATCCCTCAAAATGGCCTATAATATAGAATTGTAAGCCTACTTTAACTATTAGTTTATTTGTTAGAGTTTATAATTAAAAGAGGAGAAAAAATCAAATATATTCATTTACGAAAATTAACATTTTTGGGTGAACTATCCCTTTAAGAATTAAAAATCAAATGCTATGGAAGTCAATACTGACAGTTTTCCAGCATTCTTCAAAACATCTTCTTTTGTGTTTAACAGAAGAATGAAAGTGTAGGATGAGTAAATGATGACAGAATTAAACTTTTTGGGTGAACTATCCCTTTAAGAATTAGAAAACAAATGGTACAGAAGTCGATGGTTACAGGTTTCCAGCATTCTTCAAAATATCTTCTTTTGTGTTTAACAAAAGAAAGATACTCGAACTGGTTAGGCGTAAATGATGACGAAATTAACTTTTTTTGAGTGAACTATCCTCTTAAGAGTTAGAAAACTAATGCTATAAAAGTTAATGGTTACAGGCTTCCAGCATTTTTCAAAATATCTTTTTTTGTGTTCAACAGAAGAAGGAAACTCACACTGGTTAGGCGTAAATGATGATGGAATGAACGTTTTTGAGTGAACTATCCCTTTAAGAATTAGAAAACTAATGCTATAAAAGTCAATGGTTACATCTTTCCAGCATTCTTCAAAACATCTTCTTTTGTGTTCAACAGAACAATGAAATGTAGGATGAGTAAATGATGACAGAATTAAAAAATTTTTAGAGAACTGTCAATTTAAGAATTTGAAATCAAATGCTATGGAAGTCAGTGGTTACAGGTTTCCAGCATTCTTCAAAATATCCTCTTTTGTGTTTAACAGAAGAAACATACTCACAGTGATAAGGTGTAAATGATGACAAAATTACCATTTTTGGGTGAACTATCCCTTTAAGAATAAAAAAATCAAATGTTATGGAAGTTAATGGAAATTAAAAATGTAAAACAAGAAATATGTTAGGACCATTGTTATTGTTTACATCCTTCAAAATGGCCTATAATGTAGAATTGTGAGCCTACTTTAATTAGCAGTTTATTTGTTAGAGTTTATAAATAAAATAGAAGAAAAAATCAAATATATTCACTAAATTTTCTTTAACTTAGTCTTAGTGATGCTTATTCTCAGGAGAACATGCAAACTCCACACAGAAATGCCGACTGGCCCAGCCGGGACTCGAAGCAGCAAACTTCTTGCTCTGAGACTAAAGTGCTAACCACTGAGCCACTGTGCTGCCCTTCCCTTATTTAATGAGTTCATTTGAAACTTTCCCTCTTTACAATCATCAGTGTCAGCAGTGAGTGTGTCCTGCTGACGTTTGATTACAGGTTTAGTAGGACAGTAAACACTCAGATGTGTGTGTGTGTCATTGGACACGTCAGGAGTCAGGTGGATGTGTTTACTTCAGTCAGTCTCACTGGTTTATGGGTGGTGTTCAGAAACTGACTCTCAGTCTGGACATGTCAGTGCTGAATATATTTATTGTATAACAGGGCTGTCAGTCGCTGTGTGTGTACAGTATATACTGTGTATGTGTATATCCATTGTGGTGGACTTAACCCTCATGTTGACTTGCAGGTCAAAATCTGGACATGATGTTTATTTTGTCTTGACATTTGATGAACTTTTCTGAAAAAAGTGTGTGTGTGTGTGTGTGTGTGTGTGTGTGTGTGTGTGTGTATGTGTGTGTGTGCGCGTGTTTAGATGGCAGGAAGGGTGCTGCCTCATTCACACACAGATAACACTTAGCTAAGGACTGACTCACAGAATCCAAAATAACTTCACTTCAGCATCACTGAACAACACGCGTTCCTGCAGTTGCAGAATCACTTCAGTTTTGTATTTCATTTGGTTTGTTTTTAGAATAGTTCAACTTCGCTAATGTTAATCACAATTTTTTTGTGATACAGATCTGTGTGCATAAAATTTTGAACATTCATTTATTCATTCATTTTTTTTGGCTTAGTCCCTTATTTATCAGTGGTCGCCACAGCGGAATGAATCGCCAACTATTCCAGCATATGGTTTACACAGCGGATGCCCTTCCAGGTGCAGATTTTTGGGTGAACTATCCCTTTCAGAGTTAAAAAACAAATGCTATGGAAGTCAATGCTGACAGTTTCTTCAAAACATCTTCTTTTGTGTTTAACAGAAGAATGAAAGTGTAGGATGAGTAAATGATGACAGAATTTACATTTTTGGGTGAACTATCCCTTTAAGAATTAGAAAACAAATGGTACAGAAGTCGAT